CACCATCAGTTACCACCACCACCACCATCATTACCACTATCACCAGTTACCACCACCACGACTACCACCACTGCCATCACCACCATCATCATCACCACCAGCACCATCAATTACCACCACCACTAATATTATCACCATCATCACCATCACTATCACCACCCCTACTACCACTACTATCCCTGTCTTTTACACACTTATAAACCTCTCTTCACCTTAACACATTGCTGAATATACCAGTGACATTTAATTTATATTATTTCATGATGATCCAGTCTGCTCTGGTGAAGGACATGAGACTAAAATCAGAAGCCTTATGTTCTAGGTGCCACTAAATCTTTATGTGACCTTAGAGAAGTCACTTAAACGCTCTGAGTCTTACTTGACTCTTTGCAAAATGGAGAAGTTGGAGCCCCAAATTTTCATAATGCTCAAAATTTTACAATCTGGTGTAAAGTGAAAGCAAAACTGGCACTGTGAGTATCGATTTCTGTGAAATGAGAGGTCTGGGAAGTTTCAGCTTCAGCCTCAGCTTTCTTGTTCTCCCCAACTTCAGCCTCACTGTAGCCAACTCATCTTCTCAGAAAGCCCAGAAGAACCTTAAATGAAAACTCGATGACACGACTTGGCCACTTAACATCTGTCAGCGGCTTCCCATTGCCTTAAGAATAGAATCCAAACTCTATGGCATGACATGCTAAGGGCAGCTTGAGACCATGAAACATTGAAAGAACATATATGTCCCCTATTGAGGACAGAAGTAAATGCAAACTGTGATACTTCAACAGAATACTATTCGCAAGTTAAAATAGTGTTGTAAAGACTAAGTAACAGCATGGAAAGTACTTACAATGAAATAAGTTAAAGAATGCAAGCAAAATATTTTATTTATAGTATAATTATAGTTATGCTAAATAAGACAAAAGTTTATTTTTTTAAAAAATACAGTTTTTAAAAACCCCAAACATAAATAGTAGTTGATTTGAGCAGTTTTTCCCTCCTTAGTAACTCTACTGTTTTGTAATTTTTTTGTTTAATGAGTGTCATTATTTAAAAAAATTTTAAATATTCAATGCTTTTTTAAAAATACCAAAAGTAAATTATGTTCATTTTAGAAACCTCAAAAAATTCAGCTAAGAAAAAAACCCCCAAAACTACATGTACTCCTTGTTTCTCAGAAATAACCACTGCTAAGTCCTCTTATATATTCTTCTTGTATATTTCTGTCTCCATGCAAATGTAAAACATCATACAAATTCTGGCACTCAGAGTGGCCCAGTCCAGATGAGCGTGCCCTTAGAGGGTTCCCATTTCCTGAGGCTCACCTGGCCTGGGTGTTATGTCTCACATGAGGGTTACTCGCTTTTTCTACCCTGGTGGCAGCTCTCATTCCTACTTCCTGGATTCATGGATGGAAGGTGCTTCTGGGTCCAGGAGATAAGAAATGTTTCCTTCCTTCCTTCCTTCCTTCCTTCCTTCCTTCCTTCCTTCCTTCCTTCCTTCCTTCCTTCCTCCCTCCCTCCCTCCCTCCGTCCCTCCCTCCCTCTCTCTCATCCTCTTTTTCTGACAAGATCTTGCTCTGTTGCCAAGGCTGGAGTGCAATGGCGTGATCTTGGCTCACTGCAATCTCTGCCTCTTGGGTCCAAGCGATTCTTCTGCCTCAGCCACCCAAGTAGCTGGGATTACAGGTGCATGCCACCACACCCAGCTAATTTTTGTATTTTTAGCAGAGATGGGGTTTCACCATGTTGACCAGGCTGGTCTTGAACTCCTGGCATCAAGTGATCCACCCACCTTGGCCTCCCAAAATGCTGGAATTATGGGTGTGAGCTGCTGCACCCGGCCAAGGAGAGAAGAAATGTTTTCTAAATGAGGTCAGTTGCTTTCTTCTTCTCATTTTACTCTTAATGCACAGAAAGCAAACTTTTGAACTCCTAATACGATTTAATAACAGAGGCATTAGTCATGGATATTTAATCATTCCTAACGGTGAACTTGTAAAAATTCTCTGGCCACTTTCATGAACACCGTTTCTTAGAGTTTCTGAAAAGGTGGCACCCCACTGTTCCCATGACTGGAGGAAATAAAAAGTGAAAGTAGGATGAGGCTCTTCTGCAGACCTGGCCCGCATGGTCCACAGCTGGTAACTGGTGATATGAATGGCAAATTTTCTCATTTGTGCTCACAAAGATAGTTTCACCAAGATTGGAAATTGGTAGGGAGACTTTTATAGAAATTCAACCCACTCACCAAGACTGATCCTACCGGGAACCAAGCTTTGGGGCTTGCCCAACCAAACTGTGAACAAGTATACTCATGGTGACTCTACATAGTAGATGCGCCAGGTGTCAGGGTACAGTGGCTACTGAGACAGCAAGATCCCTTCTGGTGGTGGAAATGCCCCCTTCTCTCAAAATAAGAGTAAATCCAAGACTCAGTTCTGGGATGAGCAGCAGGAAGGGTTTTCCTGGAAGAGGCTCTGACACATGCAAAGATGGAGACGACTTGGGTATGTCCAGGGGACTGAAGCAAGACCAGGGCATCTTCAGAGCAGTGAAGGGAAGTGGCAGAGGATAAGGTGAAATTCTCAGGGGATTTAAGACCATGGTGAACAGTGGGGATGTCATTTTCAGGGCTGTGGAGAGTTGCAGAAGGAGTTTAAGCAGAGCAGAGACCCGAGGCTGGACTTGGGCAACTGTGGTCTCTCTTTCACTCCCCTCCAGGTACCCCCCTCACCCCTGCCCCCTATGTTCTTAGCTGCCCTCAAATCCTAGATGTTTTTTTCTTTGAGATGGACTCTCACTCTGTCACTGGGCTGCAGTGCAGTGGTAGGATCTCGGCTCACTGCAGCCTCTGCCTCCTGGATTCAAGTGATTTTCCTTCCTTAGTCTCCCAAGTAGCTGGGACTACAGGTGCATGCCAACATGCCTGGCTAATTTTTATTTATTTTTTGGTAGAGATGGGGGTTTCACCATGTTGACCAGGCTGGTCTTGAACTCCTGACCTCAAGTGATCCGCCCACCTCAGCTTCCCAAAGTGCTGGGATTACAGGAGTGAGCCACCGCGCCCGGCACTCAGATCCTAGATTTTTAAAGTGAGTTTCAATCTTAAGAGGCAAACGACAGAAGACATCTTCAGGATTCTGCACTGCAATGGCAGTCAAAGCCTCAACAACGAGGGCTGATTATCTGACTACAGAATTATAGGTGTTGGCCATGGAGGCAGGAGAAAATTGGTGGAACATTCTTTAATTATGGGCTGTTCTCCAAGTTCATCACATACCTCACGAAGTGTTCAGATTAGTCTCAAAGGGAGCTGAGAAAGCACCTTTTGCCAGTGTTCCTGATGGTGGAACAACAGAACCATCACTATATAGAGGACAGGATTAGAATCCTAAGGGCTTAACAACAGAAAGGAGCCTTGATTTCCTCTGAGCCACAGCCCACCCATCACCCAGGCTCTTCTGAAGGGCAGGCTAAAATAATTATTTCACTTCTGTCAGGTTTTCATAACTGGCATCTCATAATGTTTTTCGTCTGAGGAGCGAGTGGGGAAAGAGCCAGTGGGGTCTAGGTTATCCACAAATTAGACACCTAATCTTGATGTTATCAGAAGTGGTGTTTCATTTTCATGAGAAATGAACGTCCCCCTTGAATAACTGAGCTGACAGCCCATGCATTATCTCCCGCCTTGTCTTATCACTCAGGGCTTTAGGGTATTTTTCTAACACATCTTTGTGTTGTGTCCTCTGAATCTCTGAAATCTCACCAGGCAGCTGCTGCAATATCTTTTGAATTTTGGAAGTTTTAATGCAATAAAGCAATCCCCTGTTGCCTGAAGACCATGTCAAATATTATCAGGTGGCTCTCAGATGCCCCAAGAAATTTCCTCCCCACCAAATCACATGCCCCCACCCACACAAACACATACGTCTTATCCTCCCTTCAGAACCCCAGCCTCGGCTTGGCACCATGGACTCCTTGTCACTGGTGTCAGCAGTTCACTCTGGCTAACCCATTTCCTGCCCCGGCCTGCATAAGGCTAGCACAGTGATTGTTCCATCCGCTCTGCAGAAAGGCAAATGTCACCCTCTGATGTTTACTTGCTTTGAAGTCTCTTGGCCATGGCATGTGGGGAAACTTACCTGCTCTATGAGACTCCTCCTCATCCCCGTTGTGGGCACACAGGCCCTTCTAGTTGCAATTGCTCATTTCTACCCTCTTCCTTCTGTTTCCTATCCTTTCAGTGGTAGGACTTCTTATCATTTAGTAACAAAAATAGCAACGACACTTACCAGGGACTTATTATGAGTCAGATGCTCTTCTAAGCACATTTGGATCTCTTAGCTCATTTAACCCTCGCAACAAGCATCTGAGGTCGATGCAATCATAGACCCTACTGACAAACAAGAAAACCAAGACACTGAGAGGCTAAAGTCACCTGTCCAAGGTCACCAAGGTACTAAGTGGCAAAATCAGGGCTCTTAACCACCAGGAGTCTTTTCTGCCTCTGAATTTCTTCTTTTCCATTAATCTCCCAGACTAAATTCAACCAGCTCTCCCTGCTCTGTGCCAAGGACCTTGCCAGACACTTGGGATTCAAGGATGAATATGTTGAACCCTTGCCTGAAGTCTAACTGAGATGAGCAGGCAGGTAGCAGACTAGAGTGTACAGGGTGGGGAAGGGGAGGCTGGCCAGGGTGCCATAGGGAGGGGAGGTCCTGCCTTTGAAGGGCAAGTTGGAGCCTGTGATGCCTTATCTGAAACATTTACGTGGGAGTATGTGACAGTGCTCTGTAAACCATTTAAACTTCTCTTCCACTGCAAGACGGTATTCTGTTTGCTTCCTTCTGTCTCTGTCTTCAGCTTTTGAAACCTCAATTATCTTTCCCTTTTACTCCAGGAGAAGAGTTTTTGAACTCAGCTGCACATCAAAATCACCTGTGTGGCAGTGGCTGGCTGCTTTTCCTGCTGGCTATGCAGTTGACCAGTTTCTCAGTCCCTTACCCTCAGAGGTGGCGTGTGCCTGCAGCTGGCCAATGGAGTGAGGATGGAAGTGAGGCCGCTCACCCTCAAGCCTGGCCCATAACACTCTCTTGAATCCTTCTTCCCTTCATCCCTCTCCCAGACGGACTTGAGCATCCAATGGAGGACTCGATGCGGATTCCAATGTGCATCCCAGTTTGAGAATCACCGACCCCGCACATTTGATTGAACCACTGCTCACTACCTTTGCTACAGCAGGTTCAGCTGGTTTGATGTTTCTTGAGTGGCTTACAAATGCAGATTGCTATTTTCATCCTTTAATTTTGCCCAGAGGAAACACTCGCTCTGCCAGTGTGGCCTATTGGCTGTGCTTGTGAGCAGATAAGAAAGATGGATGTCTCCAGGGCCCTAACACACACTGGAGCCACAGGACAAAAAGTATTTTCCTTTCCCTTAGGACTGAAGTCACGCCATACTCTATGAGGGCAGAGACATTGAGAGTGACTCGAATACTTTCTTTGGACCTGTGAAGTTTGCTTTCAATAATAATAGCTATAACTTTGAATTCAATAAACATAAATCAATACATATACATATGACTGTAATGATATTGGATCATCTAATATGTTCCAACTACTATGCTAAACACAGCAGCTCATGTAATCCTTATAGCAGCTGTAGGAGGCAGGCATTATTGGGATTATCCTGCTATACGAATGAAAGGGAGTCTCAGAGATGTCTAATTATTACCCAAGATCACATGACGAGGAGCAGGAGAGCCAGATCTGAAAGGCCTTCTCCAACCCCAGGCCCATAGGACTACCCGCTGTGTATGTAACCTTTGCATAACTGCCTGGGCCCCCAGACCCCTCACCCTGCCACCTTCTTGTCACGCCCTCTCTCTCTGTGGCCTTTTTCAATCCAGATTGCAGTGTGCTGGAATTCCACCCTCCATGCCCAAAACTCACCACGCTTTCTGTAATTAAAATTTAGTCCATTTGAACAAAGCCTGGAACCTGACGATTCTGCCTAGTTTTCTTTGTCACCATGGCAACCAGATTCTTGGCTGAAACTGGATCCCTGGAGGTAAGAAAAGGCAAGAGAAAAGCGATGTACAGAGAAGACTTAGAGCTGGGAAGCGGTTTCCTCCAACAAGCAGCATCCACTGTTGCCTAGGTCCTCGCTTGCCTCACCCTCCCTGACTCAAGGCCATTTTAGCTACTAAGTACCATCAAGAGCCTACCAAGATGCTTAAGTTCTCCTCCCAAAAATAGAGAACTCAAAGTAGAAAAGGAATTGCAGAACTGAAATTAAAGGTTAGATCAAATGCCTACAAAAATTACATGCTGATTTTGTGAATAAATTGGGAATTCGTAAAACTTCATTATGCTTAAAAACAATAAGGCTTGCTTTTCTTACTTTGAAAAGATTTTCTGGCTTGCATACTGATGTGAGAAGGCACAGCCAATTGTAGATTGAATGTATTCCTGGTAGGCGAATTATTTTAAAAGTAGAATTATAAAAGCATGATTTTTTTTTATAGTCAAAATGCTAACAAATAAAACTTGCTCACATTGGCCAAATACTTAACACAAAAGATGTGTAGCGTTTTTTTCTTTGTTTGTTTATTGGGGGTTTTTTTGAGACAGGGTCTCTCTCTGTTGCCCACGATGGAGTGCAGTGGCACAATCATAGCTCACTGCAACCTCTAACTCCCGGGCTCTGGTGATCCTCCTGCCTCAGCCTCTCACTTCAGCCTCCTGAGTAGCTGAAATTATAGGCTCATACCACCACATCTGGCTAGTGGTTTTTTTAAAAGAAATTTTTTTTTAAGAGGTGGCCTCCAGCAATCCTCCCACCTCAGCCCAAAGTGCTGGGATTACAAGGTATGAGCCACTGTGCCCAGCCCTGGGTGCTTTTTAATATGTTTGCTGATGTGGAGTAGAGCCTCCAAAGGAATGCCTGAAATCACTTGGAATCATACAAATTTCCTTCACAAACCCTGAGAGCTCAGAGCAGGCAAGAAACATAGCTGGGGTGCGAGAGCGGAAGGGTGGCCCCAGGTGAGCTGGGAGGCTCAAGAGAGGAAGTGGCCTCCTGAAATGAAATGGAAACATTTACCCAGCCAGCCTATCTCAGGGAGAGTGACTGTTTGAATGTGTCCAATAGATTCCAGCTGCCCTGGCTGGAGACAAGCCAAGAAAAGCCTGCTTCCCATTTTCCCTTTGCCCTAGGGGACTGGGAGGCCTTTATTTTTATGGGGTTTTGGGGAATGAGAGGGGCTGCCACCATCCGGCATTATTTTCTCCCCTTCAGCTAGGTGAGCAATGCGCCTTTTTTATCATTCAGCCCAAAGAACTCACTTGACTCGTGCATTGCAAATCCACCTCTATTTTCTTATCAAAGTCCTGGGCCAGAGGGAGAACCAAGCAGTTGTCTCCCCAACATCAGGGCTGGCTCAGGGAGAGCTCTGTGGCTCTGTGATAAAATTCAAATGCAGAAGTTAATTAGCCAAGCCCAGAACCTCCTAGTAAGGCGGGCGGTGTGCAGTGAGCTCCTGGGGCCCTAACACCCAGCCTCGGTGTGACACTCAGAGTGCCAGGGCCTGGCTTTCTCACCTGAGAGGGGGATAACCGCTCCTGACTCTCTCCTGGTTTTTCTACAGGAAAGAAAAAAAATAACGATTCCTGTCACTTTTTCCCATCAGAGGAACTGTAGGCTAGAATTGGATAACGGATATGAAATTGCCTCAGGAGGTTTAAAGCTTTGCTACTCAAAGTGTGGCCCTCAGGCCAGCAGCCTCATTTGAGAGCTGGTTCAAAAGACAGACTAGACCCTCAGGCCTGCCAGAGACCTACTGAATCACAGCCTGCATTCCAACAAGATCCCAGGGCATTTCTATGCAAATTAACGACTGAGAAGCATTGATATACATATATTTTTTTGAGGCAGACTCTTGCTCTGTCACCAGGCTGGAATGCAATGGCACCATTTCGGGTCACTGCAACCTTAGCTTCCTGTGTTCGAGTGATTCTCCTGCCTCAGCCTCCCGAGTAGCTGGGATTACAGGCACCCACCACTACGCCTGGCTAACTTTTGTATTTTTAGTAGAGACGGGGTTTCACCATGTTGGCCAAGGATGGTCTCGATCTCTTGACTTTGCAATCTGCCTGTATCGGCCTCCCAAGAAGCACTGAGTTTTAAAACCCTGCAAAGCATATCTTGTAAGGAATTGGTAGGTAATGATTCATTGAATGTCTGTCTTCTCTGTTAGCTCTACGAGGTCAGGCCCTGATCTGGCTTGTTCCCCACTGTACCCCACATTTTGTTTCAATGTCTGGCATACAGTAGCCACTCAATATTTGTTGAATTAATGAATAAACCTTATATCCTGTGTGACTGACCCCAGACGGTGGTAAGAATAGACAGGATTCTAAACTTACGCCCCGGTGAGAGGTGCCAAGCCACCTGCATTTGACATCTGGTTCAATGCCCTGTGCAGTGGCGCAGTGGTTCTCAAGTTTGACCGTGCACCTGGAGCCTTGTTAAAAAGCAGGTGGCTGGGCCCCACCCTTAGAGTTTTGGATTCAGTAGGTCTGGGATTGGCAGAACTGTGTGCATTTCTAACAAGTTCTGGAGGCTGCTGCTGCTGCTGCTGCTGCTGTCCAGGGCCCCCGCCTGGAGAAAACATAGCCTGGCGCATTGATGATACCTGAATAAATGTCTTCCTATTTTAAATACGGAACACGAGGATTCACAGCAACAAAAATATCAAATTGGCAGGAAAAAGCATTTTCAGACCAGGGAATATGGCTGCTATTTCAGGTCCTGGGGTGCTTTTCAGGTGGCTGGGGCAGCCTGAGATAGGGCAAGGATAGTGGTACCAAGGGGCTAGAGGATGGGATGGTGCCAGTGGCCACAGATTATAATATGGGGCCCCCAGGTGTGGCTCCAGGGTCGCACCTGGCTGTATATCAGGGCCAAGCGTAAGTCCTGCAGGCTACAGTTTTTCTTCCCTTGCCCAGGCTCCTAAAGCGCCAGGGGTGGGACTCAGGTGGCTGCACTAAGAAGCCAGCCAGGCACTCTCGGGTTATTTACTACCAAACAGTAACAGCGATCGCCACCCATCTCCTGCGTGCCAGGGCTTGAGCTAGGTACTTTACAGATATTATCTCATCAAATTGTCACAGTAGCCCATGAGGTAAGTATACTAGTTTCCTATTTGCTGCTATAACAATTACCATGCAGTAGCTTAAAATAACACAAATGTGTGACTGCGGTGCTGAATGTCAGAAGTCTGACACAGGTCTTACTGGGCTAAAATTAGGGTGTCAGCGGGACTGAAGGCTCTCTAGCAGAGAATCCATTTTTGTGCTGTTTCCAGCTTCTAGAGGCCGGCTCTGTCCCCTGGTTCATGGCGTCCTCCTCCATCTTCCAACCCAGCAACATCGCATCTCTGCCTGCCTCCTGCTTCCACTCTTAAGGACTCTTTGGTTACGTTGGGCCCACCTGAATTATCCAGATTAATCTATTTTTAGATCAGATTAATGTCCTTAATTCCATCTGCAGTTTTAGTTTCCCTTCGCCGTGGTACCTAACATATTTACAAGTTCCAGGGATTAACGTGTGAACATCTTTAGGGGCCATTATTCTGCCAACCACAGTGAGAGCTCCTGTGCGCCACCATTTTGGAGATGAGAACATTTAGGCTTAGAGAAAGTAGGCATTTTCCTAAAGTCACACAACTAGAAGTGGCCGTCTTAGCCTGGGTCTTAGTCCAAAGCGGAACCTAACGCAAAAACGTGCCGGCGAGTCCTCTATTGGGGAGTGTCATCTAGTGAGTGGGAGAGATGGGGAGCAAAGCAGGGAAGGAGAGGGACGTACAAAGATGCCGCATTCAGCTGCTCATTGCCTGAGGATAGAGTGAGAAAGGGAAACCTATCAGCGTGTGCCGCCTCCAGATTCCAGGTTGTACCTGCCAGGCACCAAGCAGGTTCCTGCTCCCTCCTTGACTGTCTCCGAAGCCCAGGTGAGGTGCTCTTAGGTTGCATCTAGGTGCAGCGGGATTGGACCCCGCTCGGTACTGGTCACTAGCCCCCTGGAAGAGGCTGAAATGAGAGACAGACGAGGCTGAGAGACTGAATGGTGGCATAAGGGTGTCATGTGAAAGCCAGATACCTCTCTCTGACTCTGGACATCCGACTCCAGCCGCTGTGTTCTAGCCCCATCACCACAACCAACTCGCACCCCCCTGGGATGATAGAAGTGCCACTCAGCTGAGAACCCTGACCTCCCTGAGAGGGGCAGCTCTGCTCCTGACGTCACCCTCGGCGCTCAGGGGAGTAACCCCTTTCGGGAACATTCTAGCATGCGAAAGCTCCTCATTCAGACATTTGCACCGGAGTCTTTCCCAAGCCCATTCCCCACCCCACCCATGATGCCCAGCCGAGTGGGTAGTGGCTGCAGCGGGGAGGGGAGCCTGCCCTCTCTGAGTGCTAGTCTCAGTCAGACCACACCTATCGCTTCATAAATAGGCCCAACCATTTTTTAAAAAGTTTTTAATGTTGTGGGTACACAGTCGGTATGTATATTTATGGGGTACATGAGACATTTTGATACAGTCATGAAATGTGTAACATCGTATCATGGAAATTGGGGTAGCCATTCCCTCAAGATTTTTTGTGTTACAAACAATTCAGTTATACTCTTTTAGTTATGTTTAAATGTACAATCAAAGTATTGCTGACTATACTCACCCTGTTGTGCTATCAAATACTAGGTCTTACTGGTTTTTTCTATTTTATTTTGTACCCATATTTTAACCCTCCCCACTTTCCCCCCCCCATCCCCACTATCCTTCCCAGGCTCTGGTGACTACCCCTCCACTCTCTATTGCCATGAGTTCAATTGTTTTGATGTTTAGCTCCCACAGATAAGTGAGAATGTGTGATGTTTCTCTTTCTGTGCTTGGCTTATTTCACTTAACATAATAGCCTCCAGTTCCATTCATGTTGTTGCAAATGGCAGGATCTCATTCTTTTTTATGGCTAAATAGTATTCAGTTGTGTGTACGTACCACATTTTCTTTATCTGCTCATTTGCTGATGGGCACGTAAGTTGCTTCCTAATCTTGGCTACTGCAACTAGCGCTGCAACAAACATGAGCATGCAGAGACCGCTTCAGTCTACTGATCTCCTTTCGTGTGGGGATATACCCGGTAGTAGGATGGCTGGATGGCAGCTCTATTTTCAGTTTGGCCCAACCACGTTGAAGGGCAATGTGGTGACAATGAGCAAAAGCCATTGAAAACATGAACCTCTTTTGCTTTTCTGGGCATTTGTCTTGTAGAAATAATAAAAGCATATACACAAAAACAAGGTTGTTCTTCTCAGTCTTGTTCATAACAGGGGTATGTCAGGAACAACTTAAAACCCATCAGCTGGGAGACACTGTGTTGTAGGATACATACACTCAGGGAGACATGTTTACAGTTCATCGCTTTGTGCAAATGTTCCTCTTTTTGCCCTCTTCTTGCTGGTGTGAATTTCCAACATTTGTGCAATGAATGGATTTCCATCGTCACTGAGTCCTGTTGATTTTGCCTCCAGATTCCTGACTGTAACCCACGGGGCCCGAGCCTCTGGGCCCTGCCTTCCTCTTCAGCCCATGTGACACCTCTCTCTGCCCCAGCTCAGAGACTAAGATGTTCCTTCCCTACTCAAGACCCGCACACAGGGCGCGGCCTCCGTTTGAAAAGTCCTCCCTCCCTGCCTCGTGTCCTGTGAACATCCTCTCATCCTGTAGGTCACATCTGCGCAGTCACCTCCTCAGGGAGCTCCTTCCTGGCCTTGAGTCGAAAGTCGCCCCCTCTTACTCTGTGTAGTGTCCCCATTCTGTTCGTCACCACCTGCCATTATAAAGTACAGTAGGGGAAGCGGGGGGTTCAGTGAGGCTTTAGCTCAGAGGGACATTGCGGCTGGTTCTGTTCAATTCCACCTATAACCCCATAACCCCATCTCCAGAGCTGCTCAAGTCCCCTGCCCTCGGTTCAGAGGGACTTACAAGTGTCTAGGACTCACAGTGAGGCGGGGAGTGGTGTACACGCTGTGACTGTGGGGTGGGGGAGGGGCCCGCGGTCAACGACAGCCCATCCACTCCCTTCCCACGGAATGCGCCCCCCCTACCCTGTCCCCTGCCTCCCCTGTTCTTATTGCCACACTGTCTTCCCACGCTCTCCTTTCTCCAGGTCTGACCGCCCTTCTCTGGTCTCTGAGAGAGGAAGACAGTCTCTGCAGGCTGCATGCCTTCCAGAATCTTCCTTCGACACTGAGGGGAGTGTGCTTCTGATTGGTGTATATTGACTTGGTGTATGAAAAGGAAGATAGAAACAAAAATATACAGAAAACAACCAGTTAATTTTTCTTATTTCTTTTTTTTTGAGATGGAGTCATGTTCTGTCACCCGAGCTGGAGTGCAGTGGCACAATCTCGGCTCAACCTCCACCTCCTGGTTTCAAGCAATTCTCCTGCCTCAGCCTCCCGAGTAGCTAGGATTACAGGCGCCTGCCACCATGCCTGGCTAATTTTTGTATTTTTAGTAGAGACGGGGTTTCACCATGTTGGCCAAGCTGATCTCAAACTTCTGGCCTCAAGTGATCTGCCCGCCTCAGCCTCCCAAAGTGCAAGGATTACAGGTGTGAGCCACCACATCTGGCCACGTGCTTAATCCTTACCATATAATCCTGACCCATATCTATGTATTTGTTTAGTTCCCATCTGACACCTGAACAGTGTCCCTCCCTCCCCATCAAACTTATGTTCACCTGGAAGCTCAGAGTATGACCCTTTTTGGAAATAAAGTCTTTGCAGATGTAATAGTTAAGATGAGATAATATTTAATTAGGTTGGGCCCTAAATCCAGTATGACTGGTGTACTCAGAAGAAGAGAAAGATTTGGCCAGGCAGTGGTGGCTCACACCTGTAATCCCAGCACTTTAGGAGGCTGAAGCGGGTGGATCACTTGAAGCCAGCAGTTCAAGATCAGCTTGGCCAACCAACAAGGTGAAACCCTGTCCCTACTAAAAAACTCAAAAATGAGCCAGGCAAGGTAGCAGGCACCTGTAATCCCAGCTACTCAGGAGGCTGAGGCAGGATAATTGCTTGACCCAGGTGGTGGAGGTTGCAGCGAGCCAAGATCACACCACTGTACTCCAGCCAGGGTGACAGGGAGAAAAAAAAAAAAGGCCGGGCGTGGTGGCTCATGCCTATAATCCCAGCACTTCGGGAGGTCAAGGTGGCAGGATCACGAGGTTAAGAGTTCGATACCAGCCTGGCCAATATGGTGAAACCCCATCTCTACTAAAAGTACAAAAATTAGCCAGGCGTGGTGGCGGGCACCTGTAGTCCCAGTTACTCAGGAGGCTGAGGCAGAAGAATCGCTTGAACCCAGGAGGTGGAGGTTGCAGTGAACTGTGATCATGCCACTGCACTCCACCCTCGGTGACAGAGCGAAACTCCAGCTCCAAAAAAAGAAGAAGAAGAAGAAGAGAAAGATCTGGATACAGAAACCTAGACACATGAAGACAGAGGCAAAGACTGGGATGAGGCATTGTTTAGCCAAGGAAGATGAAGGTTGACAGCAGCCGCCAGCAGCTGCAAGGCTGGGAGGGACCCCCACCAGAGCCTTCAGGGACACCTAACTTCAGACTCCAACAGGTGAGAGAAAAAATGTCTGATGTTTGAAGCTACGCAGTTTGCAGTAGTTACAGCAGCCACATAATGAACACACGCCCAGTAAGACCCTTAAGAACCTGGAAGGCAGGACCCACGTCTGTTGTGTTCACTGTTGAATCCCCAGTGCCTGGTGCATAAGCGGTCCTCAACAAGCCTTTGTTGAAGGAAGGGGCCTAATCTTGAGCAGGGTGACTGAAGCAAGAGGGAAGCGCACAGACTGACTGAGCTGCTTAGTCCCACGGAGAAAAACAGCAGCAGGAGAGGAAGAAACTGCACTTGGCTCTTCCTTCCCCGTCTCACTCTCAGATGCTGAAATAACTATTTTTGGTGAATGCAAATCATAGCTGTGGCCAGTGTCTTCAGTCGGAGGCCACAAGCGCACACGCTGAGCCAGGGTTACAGTCACAAGAGTTTATTTTTAAAGTGACCACGCCTGACCTTCAGGCTCAGAGGCTGCAGACTCAGACTTTCCTGGTCAGGGCCACCCCAGGGTGGCCGGCCATCCTCAGCAGAGAAAAGCCACATGTTCCAAAATGGAAAAGGCGCTCAGCCTTCCTCCTCCACCGCAGCTAAGGAATACCTTCCCCTCCCATCTGTCGCCTACACGCTGACCGCTTTCTGGCGCGTTTAACACCCACAAATCACATCACAAGCTGTTGCTCTTGGCTTGCAGCTCCAGTTTCTTGAATTCAATTATAAGTATGAGCATGCTATGTAGCCCGCAGGGTGCGGCCGCTGGGAGAATGCTCTCCCATGAAGGCGGAGAGCTCCCTGACCTCTTGATCATCCCCAGAAGGGACAGGAAAGCATTCTTCAGGACTGCTGGATTTTTTTTTTTTGGTCTTAATTGAGCCACAAGTAAGCAGTAGTCAACTGTCCATAGGTACAACATAGGTTGTCAAAGACCAGGATTCTCTCATGTCTCAGAGATTCTCCGGTTCCCAGCTGAAGAACACCTTCGGCTGGGCACGGTGGCTTATGCCTGTAATCTCCGCACTTTGGGAGGCTGATGCGGGACGATTCCTTGGGCCCTTCAGCCTGAGCAACATGGCAAAAGCTCATCTTTACAAACAAATACAAAAATTAACTGGGTGTGTGGCGTATGCCTATAGTTCCACCTAGTTGGGAGGCTGAGGTGGGAGGGTCTCCTGAGCCTCGGGACGTCAGGGCTGCAGTGAGCCATGATCGTGCCACTACACTCCAGCCTGGGCAACCTAGCAAGAGCCTGTGCCAAAAATCCAACCAACCGACCAACCAAACAAACAAAGAACACCTTCCTCAAAGGTTCAGTTAGGATTGGGAAAAATAGTGTTAACCTGGTAGGACTCAAGGTAACTTTTTTTTCATTTCATAAATTGTATTTGCCCTATTTAATCTTTACACCAATAAAGAGGGACTCTGGCACCTTCTGAACAAACAAATGTACACGTTACCCAACTATACCTGAGCTGGGCTTCCCTGGGGGCTCTGCACACTCACTCCACACCCACCATGAGAACTACTGCACCTGTGGCCTTACTGAAACAATGAACTGAAAGCTCCATGCAGCTGATTCAGAAAACATCAAGGAACTGTGTAGATTTCTTACTGAGGGTTTCTAAGGGAGGTGAAGAGGGGCCGTATACTACATCATATAGCACAAGTTCTTTTTTATATAAAAGACTTACTAAGAAGATAATCTGGTCTCTTTCTATGATTCTAGACTATAATGGCCATTTATTTTGCCAGTCAAAGCTACTCTTTTAAAAAAAAAAAAAAAAAGAAAGACAGGGTTTTGAGATCTTGCCCAGGCTGATATCGAGCTCTTGGGCTCAAGCAATCCCTGCCTCAGCCTTCCAAAGTGTTGAGATTACAGTTGTGGGCCACCACGCCCAGATCTTTTTTAAACTTGTCTTTAAACATGTCGTTTTACCCTAAAGTCTCACCCCCTGACAATGTCCAGGACTTCAGTTCCAATCTCATAAGATCAAGGATTTATGAGAACCAATATGAGCTCACCCCTGTGGAGATGCATGTGACACAGCCATTGCCCTCGAGGAGCTTATGACTGGGGAAACAGAAATGAGGCAATTCTAGAGCAAACGGGATGTGCCATGTGCTAAGTGCCCAAAGAGTTCATAAGAGGGCAGGTGGGTGCAGTCTGGAGAAGTCTCAGGAAGCTACAAGGACAGGTCGAGAAGGATGGGTCAAGTCTAACCAAGTGGAGGTTGGGGAGCAGGCATCCCATTCAGGAGAACCTATGTGAACAAAAGCTTGGGGGTAAAAGGTGGGAAACAGGAAAGCCAGGTGGTGAGTGATGGATTTCCCCAAGCACATGCCTAAACCAGTCCCATAGCTTTAAAGTGGGACTTGAATGACATCCGTCCTTCAAATTCTCTCCTTCCTAGCTTTAGAAAGGCTATGGCATAGTGGACCGGCAGGCAGCCCGCCCTATATTTACTGAGGATTGAGGCTCCAAAGACTATTTTTAGGTTGGTTGATTGAATCTGGGCATGCATTTTCCCACAGAAATAAAGTTGTATGTGGTGGTTAGCAAAGGCGTAGTGAGACTGAAGTACGTGCGCGTTGGGGGTGGAGGTGAGGGTGAGGGTGGTAGTATGCTGATTAGATTAACATAGTTGTGGTAAGCAGGCCTTAAGCAAGTAAGAAACTTCATGAAAAATTGATATTTTTCAAATGGGTTATTTCCTTTTTTTCTTTTTCTTTTTTTTGAGATGGAGTTTCGCACTTGTAGCCTAGGCTGGAGTGCAATGGCACAACCTTGGCTCACTGCCACCTCTGCCTCCCAGGTTCAAGTGATTCTCCTGCCTCAGCCTCCCAAGTAGCCGGAACTACAGGCACCACACCCGGCTAATTTTCTGTATTTTTAGTAGAGACAGGGTTTCACCACGTTGGCCAGGCTGGTCTTGAACTCCTGCCCTCAAGTGATCTGTCCGCCTTGGCCTCTCAAAGTGCTGGGATTACAGGTGTAAACCACTGCTCCCAGCCTCAAATGGGTTATTTTAAAAAGTCATCACATTTCTACAATATTCCATGGGAAGTTGGTGGAATGGATCTGGGGGGCTACACTGCGTTAGGCTCCTAGACTATCCTAGAAGTGCTAGTGGTGACCCTGAGCTCCATATTCCAGAGCTCAGGTGTCCAGAACCAGAAGCATGAGGCTTGCTGGGCTTCAGTCACACAGCAGTGGAGGGGAGACTTGAGGCTTCACTGAATGGGGTCTGGGGTGAGTCTAACATCTTCAGAGCACAGAACGTCCTCGACATCTTGGCAACCATTAAGGCCAGATGGCTAATCCGTGGGATTCAGCACAGTAGTTAGAATCCAGGTGGGAGGAAATAAACAAAGGCAGGCAGGTGGCTGGGGTGCAAATCAGAAAAGTTCACTCCTGCCCAGCAGGATGTCAGGCACTGTCTAGTGAGTTTGGAAGCAGCATCTAATCATCTAAGGAAAGGTCTGGAAGAGCTTGGGATGGTGTTGGGCTCCAAACAGCTGGCTGAGATCCAGGAGCAGACTCAAAGCTGTGTAGGGAAGTTGATACAGAATCCTAGAACTCTGAGCTGAACCATCATGGCAGGGGTCTAAATAGAATAGTATGATTTGGGTAGTTCATGTGGACCCAAAAACTAACTAACTAACTAACTTCCTTCCTTCCTTCCTTCCTTCCTTCCTTCCTTCCTTCCTCCCTCCCTTCCCTCTTTCCTCTCTC